TGTTTTTGTAGGCAAATATGTGGGTTATAGTATTCGTAATTACCATTCTCGTTTTAACCTTAATCATACTTATATTAATATGTATGAAGACGTACCGTAAGCTGAATGAGGTGAATTTTGGGATGTTTCACCAAACGAATAAATTCCGAGTTACGATTTTCCCGCTTAGGTCCATACTGAGAGCGAAGAAGACAATGTTGTCAAACTAAGTTTTCCTCTGCCTCCTCCAGTTGGGGATTTTGACGATATGGACGAAACACAATATGATCACTTGGCAGTACGGGCATTTCGACACCACGAACTTGGAGGTGATTTGCTTGCTTCTTTGTCCTGAGTAACTCGATGCCTACATCCTTATTCCAGAGAGTGAGGAGGCTAGATTTGAAAGGAAAGAAGACTATGTGCCCGATGTGCCTCCTCGAAAAAATAAAATGAAACAAATCTTAGAGGAACAAAATCAAGCATCCAAAGAGTAATCTTAAGGCTGTTCCTTCTCTTAATCAATCAAATTAGATCATCAATTGGCACGTCAATGCTGTAGAGAAGTGGAAAAATAAACTAAATTTGCAGAAACTACTTGCTAGTTTTTCCAGTTTACACAGAACAACTGTATTCCCCTCTAAGTCTATCATATGCTAAACTCGCGAAAAACAGTAGGCGTTTTGACGCACTCCAGCACATTTTACGGATAAGAATAGGATAACTTTACTTGCAAACTCTGTAGTGAATGCAACATATTCTCAACTTCTGAAAAGTGGCTAAGGAAACATAGTCATCTATAACATTTCTATCGTTTAAATTAAGAGCAATTCTCATAAAATAAGACCATTATTCTAAAATTCCAGAGGACCCCGTTTTCTTTTCGAAGCCCCACCTGCCTACGACGAAGTTGATAGCGTTACCACTGCCCAATCTGGAGAGCGAAGAAGAATGGTCTCGATAAAAATGCCCGACTTGCCAATAGTAAGTTTAATCTTCAAAGGCATTCTACAAATCTTGATGGGATTCTGCAGCGAAAAGTTGGGGACACGCAAATACTCGAACGTTGTGTAGCACCTACTCAAAGCTTATCACTCACCACGAAAACGGCTATTCAAAAGTCTAAAAGTTATACATATGCACAACCAAGCCAAGTAAATGGAGATGGATTGAGTGCAACTCAGCAGCCTACATTTTCTTTAGTGGGTATTGTCCTACTTTTCGTTTTCGTTCTCGACACATCTTAATGTGCCCTTATTTAGCCAATTCGGCTTCCAGAAC